CACTGTATAAATCATGTGTAAGTGTTTCATATGGAAGGCAGTATAGAAAACTATAAGTATCTTAGAACAACGGGAGAGGGGAAATCTGGCTAATTTATCTTCAACTATTATGACTATCTTCCAAAACTTTGGATTTAAAAAAATGTTCATCTATATACAATAAACTTCAATTTCTTTAGCAAAATTTATGGAACAAGCTTTAAAACATAATTCTCAGCTACTATAATACATGAGCGTCGTAATTCAAATGTTCTTTGGTTAGGGTTAATTTATAAGTAGATATTAAAATGTGTGTACCCTGTGACCCACTACATGTATGAATTTATCCTGGGAAAACTAATTGGACAAGTTTGTAAATATGGATTTTAAAAAATTCATTAAAAGAATGTTAATAGCGAAATACTGGAAACAATCTAAATGCCAATCAGCAGAGGACTGATTAAATCAAACTCCTGAGAATATCCATATAATCATTAAAATGTTAAGAATTTATATTTATTAAGATGCAAACATAGTCACATTAAATAAGTTTTTTTAAAAAATCACGTTATGAAAAAGGCTTGTATCAAATTTATCTAGTTTTTAATATATGAATACATATGCACAGAAAGATACCTGAAAAGATATTCACCAAAGTGTTAACAGCATAGAATTTGGGAAACAAATTCTTCACATTTTCCTTCATTATTTGAATATTTTCATAATGTGAATATATTATTACATAAAACAATAAAGTGATTTTTATTTTTTAAAAAGTAGGTATTATTTTCTTTTAATGAGGTATATAAAACAGTACAGATTCACGATGTCTGCTACCTAATTGCAGAGTGTTCAGACAGTACCTTCAGCTTACTATTTATAAACACCCTTGTAAATTAATAAGTGTAATACCAAATCTCAGGAGGAGAACAACTCAAACTCATGCAAGGTGGAATAAACCACAGATCAGGAAGGCAATATTTGGTTCTATCACAAAGTAGGTGTCAAGATCTGGGAAGTCATTCAACGCCTTGGGCTTCATATTTTTATCTATAAAGATGGTTTAGTATCAACGTTAATATGGTCTGTAGCCGTGTCAGTCTGTGAACTGAACTGTTACTGAACTACTATGAGAGAAAAAGGACTTTGTACCAGATTATAAATTAACAACATCATTCAGCACACTGCTTAGTTCACTGGTGGTTTGTTGAAAAAAGAATTTTTTGATGAAGGAAAATAAATGCATTGACTTACATTCTGAGACAAGTTTTTTATTTCACTGCAAACCAGTATTTAGTGCAGCACTGGTGTACATTATTCTTAAAGACCCTTGGGTCAGAAAGTTTATGAAATTAGCTTGTCACTTAACTGAAATCACATACTAATGGCTAAATCACATATGACCAAGGACTGGGGAGAAAAACATAACAAAGAATACTAACAAAAGTGGCTCCACTATCTTATTCCACCATCCACTCCCCAAAATAGAGAAACAAACTGTGCTTAATAATGAACTACAGTAATTGAGATAATACCATCCTAAGAAAAATCTTACCTTTCAATTGCCAAGATTTCTATTCCTGCAGCACTGCTATTTCCATACTTGAAGGTAATTAGTTCAGGATGTTTTTTTTTGGATGTAATTTTAACTACAGAATTTAGTGCTTGTCGAGACTGTATGTAAGCCAATCCTTTCCGTGAAAGAATCTCCCTTAAACAGTACATATGTGTTGCAGTAACCAACAGATGACTTGAAAGAAAAAGAGCATTAAAAGAAAAAAATAATTTTAAATATTATGTAATTCCAAATAGGTGCTGCTTCAATAACCCCAATTATTAAAAAAGTTCAACTGTAAATGAAATTACTTTTGAATTTAAAAACATAAACAGGATAATCTATAAGTAAGCTATGTAACAGAAGTTTCTGATTTTCCTTTAATTGTATGCAAAATTAATGTTTTATTAACTGAAACTATTTAAGAGAAAAGGCATATAGTATTTTATAATAAAAATTCAACATAGAAATCATTAAATATTATATTTTTATCGAAATGGAATATACTACTTTTCAGACTTTTAACAGTATTATGTATATTCATAAATTATTCTCATTCAATATACCATAGCCTATATTTAATATCAAAGATCGCTAGGCAATAGTTGGGCTTCCCTACAATGTTTATAATATTCTGCAATTGGATCCTTAAGGCAAAATGAGCACAGAATTAACATCCCCTTTTGTATCTCAGCTCACTTTAGTCATAGTATTCTTACTTTGTTTAATGTATAGTACGACAGTAAGACAAATATCAGACAAGTCCAGAAGGTGGAACATTCTACAGGACAATCGGCCTAGACTCAAACTTTGATTCATTCATCATGAAGAGAAAAAAGGAAGCAAGGGGGAGGAGGAGAGTACGGTTGTACACTGGGTGAGACTAAAGAGATATAACAGACAAATGCAATGTGTGAACCATGACTAGATCCTGGATCAGGAAGCAAAAAACAGATTTATCCAAGATACTTTGGGGACACTGAAAATTTTGAGTGGGGTCTACACGTTGAATGTTAATGTTTTAAATGTTTAATGTTAATGTTTTAAATTTTTTTAGGTGGGGTAATGGCATTGGAGTTATGTATGAGAATGCTCATACACTTGGGAGATTTATGCTGACGCATTTAGGGGTGAAGTGTCACATCTATAAGCTTTTGAATGGTTTCATGAAGGGAAGTGTATGTAGACGTGTGTGTATGTATATCTATACATACGCAGATGGGGTAGTATAAAAAATTGTTAACAACTGGTGAATCTAGGAGAAGATCATAAGGGTGTTCAATGTACTATTTCTTTAACATCTTTAAAGTTTTTCAGAATAAAAATTACATAAGAAATATTTAAAAAATCAAAACATAAGTCAACAGAGGGAAATTTTATCTTATTGTACTTGGGTAAATAAAAGTTCTTCTGCAGTTCAGTTTAATATCATTAACTTCCCCAAATTCAATTTTATTTCTAAAGAAGACATTTTTAAAAGTACCTAGGAAACATGTGTCCACTCTCTTTCACTTCTTTACAAGGAAAATGATGTTTGACGTCTGGCTTGTTTATCCAAGTCTGAATGTTTACAACCTCTTTTCTATCATCATCTGACATTGAAGAACTGTCAATTTCATCTATAAAAAATTTAAAGTGTTAAATGTGGATACTACTAACTTTTAAAACAATGCATTTCTTAACAGCCTAAAAAATTACAGTAGTATTTTGAAATCTATAAAGAATTTAAGTGTTAAATGTGGTTGTTACTTTTTAAAATGGTGTATTTCTTAAGAGCCTAAAAAATTTGTCAGCAGTATTTTGAACATATGGATTGAAAAAAACATTCTAATCCTGCCACTCTATTTCCTTATGCCACTGATACTAATACAGGAATATTATTATGAAAAATCACTTTATGTGGTAAGAAAGTCAGGTGAAAATATGAAGAATACACTTTTATAGATTAAACTATTTGGGAAATTTCAACTCTTTTGATACAGATAACATAACCATGATCTGCCTAGTCTGTAAAGAGATGGCTGAATTATCCAGTAATAAGCACCTATCTTGAGAGTAAAGTTGGTAGAGTTCTTTTTATCTCACTGGTTTCTGATTTTAAGGAAAATAATAAAGTCAGTCCTGGAATAAATAAAAATCTAGTTTTTTTAAATAAGATAAAAATAAAATATTTTAGTTATTTTGTTTTTCTAATTTAAGAAAGGGGAATTATAGTCTCTAGGGTTAATAATTATAAATGTTCTTCCCTTTGTTTCTAAATAAATACTTCAAAATATAAAGAGACATAATTAAAAAGGAAACCCCACGTATCTACATTCCAGTTTAAATAAATGTGAAGCCCTGGCTGGGTGCGGTGGCTCATGCCTGGAATCCTAGCACTCTGGGAGGCCCAGGCGGGAGGGGATCTCTTGACTGAGTTCGAGACCAACCTGAGCAAGGGTTGAGACCCCATCTCCACAAAAAAAAAGGAAAAAACTAGCAGGGCATGGTGGCACATGCCTGTAATCTCAGCTACTCGGGAGGCTGAGGCAGGAGAATCACTTGAGCCTAGGAGTTTGAAGTTGCTGTGAGCTATGCTGATGCCACTGCACTCTAGCCAGGGCAACAGAGTAAAACTCTGTCTAAAGAGAAAAAAAAAAAGTGAAGCCCTCATGTATCTCTCCCTATTCATATTCCCCCCCTTTCCCACCAAGAACTACTGACTATTTGAATTCGGTGTTATCAGTTCCATACATGTCTTTAACCTTACACAAATATTCCTAAATAATATACAGAAGTGTTTTGCAGTTTAAACAAAATGTATATAAAAAATAGACTACTCAATGGCATTCTTCGGCAACTGCTACCCTACTCCCAACATTGTGAAATTTATGCATGTTGGTACACATAGTTCAGTTTTCTCATTTTCATTATGGTCTGATTTCTCATAGTGTAAATATATGGGTGTGTTTATGATAAATGGAAATATACAATTTATTCATCCATTCACTTCTCTTCTTTGTTAATGAAAGGAGCTGAGATACTCAGGGAGGTAGACTGATAGATAACAGAGGGGGAAAAAAAGAAGAAAAAGAAACAATTAGAAATAGCACATTTATCTTAAGCAAGTTTTCTGGAATATGATTTTATAATATCTATTAAAATGTCAAATATGATTCCCTATAATCTAGCAAAATTACTGCTAAGAATTTACCCTCTAGATATACTTTCAAAAGCTAATCTAGGCATATGTATAAAAATATCCATTGCCATTTGAAACAGAAAAAAACTGGAAAACCACCAGTATCAACTGGAAAAAGACTGGTTAAATAAATTATGGTATGTTTACATGATAGCAAGAGAATGAGGAAGTATATGGGCTGAAATGGGAAATATGCAACATGTATTACTAACTGGAAAAAACAAGGTGAGATTTAGGAGTCTTTTTTTCTTATTCTGTACATTTATATATATATTTAAAACTCAATACACATATTAACCAATATTAATTACGACTGCTTAATTAGGATAATCTGGGCAGTAGGATTATAAACCAAAGACTAAATTATTTTTAAAACATAAAGACAACCAAACAGAAGATAACAAATTTCCCTGACTCAATATCCCCATCTTGTGGCCCTTTAGGATATTGCCTCGTTTCAAAAGGCTCTCTTCAGATGTCTCAATTTTGGAACTCTCTGAACTTTATTGCCACGACTCTCAGTCTCTTAAGTGGGTGGGTGATTAAAGGGAATTAAATCCAGTTTCATGGATTTAAATACTATTTCTACACTGATAGCCCCAAATCCTCATCAGCTTAGACCTCTCTCCTCAGCTGAAGATTCCTATCATCAATTGCCTACTCAACATTTCTGCTTGGATTTCTAATAGGCACAATTTAAGATATCTAAAACCTAATTCTTAATAGAAAGCCCCAGATTCTCCAATTCTCTCTACAGAATCTCTCTTTCCTCTTTTTAAAGTAGTTATTTTCCTAGTCACAGATGACCTCTATAAATCACTCCTAGTGACTGAGCAAAGCAGTGTGTAGATAAGTGTACTACTACACCTGTGTCGTATTCTTCTTCATCCCCAATGCTGAAAACAGGCTTTACACCACGGTAAGGCTTGCCCACTCTGTCACTGCTGCTCACATGCCTAAATTCAAAGAATTTCAGGGGGAAATTATCACTTAATATGTTATTCAAAGATTTTTACCAAGCAACATTTAAATATTCAAACAAAATGGAAATGTTTTTTACCTCTCCCCCAACGTAATCATAGTTTTAACAGCTAATTTAAGGAAATTGAAATAAAATAAAGAAATGCAGTGGCATCATCATAGCTCACTGTAACCTCAAACTCCTGGGCTCAAGCGATCCTCCTAAGTAGCTAGGATAACAGGTGCATGCCACCATGCCTGGCTAATTTTTGTAATTTTTTGTAGAGATGGGGTCTCACTATGTTGCTCAGGACTCTAGCGATCCTCCCACCTCAGCCTGCCAAAGTGCTAGAATTACCGGTGTGAGCAACCACACCCAGCCTACTTTTGTTTTAATTGAAACTAAGATTCTACTTCTGTTGCATAAAAATGAATCTTTCTTTTTCAAAAGGCAGATCATAGGGCCAGGCGCCCTATTACTCACACCTGTACTCCAAGGGAGGAAGACTGTTTGAGGCCAGGAGTTCCAGACCAGCCTGAGCAAGAGCGAGACCCCATCTCTACAAAAAATACAAAAATTAGGCAGGTGTTGTGATGCGCGCCTGTAGTACCAACTCCTCAGGAGGCTGAGGCAGGAGGATCACTTGAGCCCAGGAGTTTGAGGTTGCAGTGAGCTATGATGACGCCACTGCACTCTAGCCCACATGACAGACAGAGACCCTGTCTCAAAAAAAACAAAAAAACAAGAAAGGGAAAAGAGGCAGAACATAAACAACATGTAAATTCAACATGATTAGTACTATTGGAAGTGCTTCCTCTCTCTTTTTAATATAAAAATTAATACCTGAGTACTTTCCAGGTAACCCCAAATAAACTAAGAGGCAAAATTAAGATATCTCAACAAAATACTACATGTTTCTGGGGGGAAAAGCATTGTTTTCTTTGTAGGATAAGGTTCATTTAAAATTATTTACTACAAAGGAAGATTCTACCAGTTTTTGTGGGCATGTGTTATATGAAGACATGCAGAATCTTCTATTTTGAAGAGATATTCCAATGTGGAAAAAAAGAATCAAGTTACATGTCTTAGTTTTAGAATTCAATTTTCCCAGAACATAGAGATCAAATCTATATTTTAAATAATTTTTAATATATGTCATCAATAAAAATCTCACTATAGCCTAATTTTGTTGAAATAGGCTTAAATCTTTTTTTTTTTTAGGTGTAATTTTTTTTTTCTTTTATTTCAGCATATTATGGGGGTACAGATGTTTAGGTTACGTATGTTGCCCTTGGTCCCCCCCCCCAAGTCCGAGTTTCAAATATGTCCATCTTTCCAGTGGTGCGCATTGCACTCCTTGTATATACAAATACCCATCCCTTCCTCCCTCCTCCCCCCTCCCCCTCCCCCCTGCATAAGAAACGACAGTGATCTAGGCTTAAATCTTTTACTTCTTGCAAAACAACATTCCTCAATAAAAACTAATGAGAGATTATAACAGATACTCCTTGGAAATTACAAGCTAAGTCAATCAATACACAGCTTAAAGTTGATTAAATTAAAACTCACAAAATCGTTTGATTTTATATTAGAACATCTAATGTACAATATCAAACTACACTCATCAGAGAGAGATAAAAATGAAAGAAATAATTCAAACATCTTTGAAACTCAGACTGAGCTTCTTATACAGTAAGGCAAAGACAAAGGTAATAGCTTTATTTAAAAATGCTTTAGTGACATCTAGATTATAAAATTTTATGAGATTAAATTATAGGTTCTTTCCTGATATTAAAGCATAATTGAACTGCTATAACACAGAAAATAAAAAATATAACATTTATAGCAAATGCTTGAACCAGAAAGCAAGTATGAGTAAAGAAACAATCCTAAAAACAAATTATTCGTTACTGACCTAGATCTATAATACAATACAAAGTTTTTATGAACATGAATGCAAAAGATTACTTGAGATAGTTCTTGAAACACTAGTTAAAAATTAATGAAATTCAATAGCTGGACTATTTTTAAAGAATAGTATATCTATACTTTTTTGCCAAAGTAACATCAACAAAATAGTTTGACCAGGTTTTAACTTGATTTTCTGAGCTCAGAAAAGAACCCAATTCATTCTAACTTTGTCAAAATAAATATATCTGCCAGTGGACCAGAGAAGATAAGTTAAAAAATAAAATTAAAACTTTGAGAGAAAACTTGGGAGTTAAATAAAATTAGACTAATTCAATGGTCCAATAAGAGGAAAAAATAGATGATTGACAAATAGATTATAATTTTCAAAAAAGCAATTTCCTTTAAAATAGTTTTAGGTAAAATTATAATAGAAGGCCTGTAATTGGTATTGTGTAGGAGTAAGTCATGATGAATAAAAACTTATCAGGTAAGTTATTAGAAAGTAAACTATTATTTTAAAAAATGCTACTTCTAGTCACTGACAAAATTAAATGGCCTGAGAAAAAGTCAACTCCATTATTCCAAAGCTTAACTTACATTCAAAATATGACTAGTATTTCTTTCTCAATGTTCACAGGTATTGCTATAATTGATATTCTAAACTGCAGAAAATTTCTGTGAGAATAAAAATGGCAAAGCCATTTTGAATTACATTAGTAAAGTTTTTTTTGTTCAATCCTAATTGAAGATCCTAGATTTTTTAAACCTTAAACTTAAGGAATCTTTATGTCTTTTACTGACAAGCACTTCATCTTATTTGGGGTGGAGAAGTGATGGGTTATACATTAAAATATCCACCACAACCTTTTTTCATGGAAAACTGAAAGTAAAACCCTAGAAATGTTTTTTGGGAACAGATTTATATATGTTAACTTGCCAACCTAAATATATATATCTTATTAAGAAAATCTAAAAATCTAAAATTATATAATATACATGAATTAACATAAATTTTGTACTATGAACTATGCCTATTTTTAGGTGCTGTAATTTTTCTCTACTGGTGGGCAGGAGATAGAACCAAATGATCTCCAAAGCCAATACCCTGCCAACTCTTGACTACATACACACTTTGTTTCATCTTTCCCTGTATCAGAAAATAAAACCTTCAGGTTTTATCAACTTCTTAGGTTTGAATGAACTTGATTTTCATCTGAGGAATGAGAGATATAAAGAAGCATGCAAAGAAAAAAAATTAAAATGATCAAGCAAAAAAATCAAAAAGAATCTATCAATCAACATGATACACTCCTAAAAGCAGAATGAGAAAAGTTTAGCATCTGAAACAGCTGGATGAAATTTTAGCCAAGACAGCAGGAGATGCATGAGGCATGCTAAAGGAAAGGAAAAGGATGGTTCAATAAAGCTGCTCTATTCATTGGCTTTGGCTTACCGCTCTGTACATGATCTGTCTGGCCAAGGAAGATTGAAAGACATTCTATAGCAAATCAAGGCAGAGGACAGAACAAAATGATTATAAAAAATGCAATGGCTTTAAAACAAAAGTATAGTACAGTATAATCAGTTTTTCTAACTCAGAGTAGTGTGCATTATCAAGAAAATGTTTCAATCATCCCAAGTACAAAGAAAAATGAAGAAAAGCCAGTTTCAAGGGATACTTCAACAAAGACAACAGTCTTTTTGTCTTACAGTTATCTCCAGTCCATTTGAAAATAAATGCATTTTAAAATAAAATTTTAAATGTTCATGCTATAAAATGTAGCAATAATAGTTCTCCAATTCAGAAGCGCTAACTAAAAGTAAACAGGTTAGCTTTTGAGAGCAGATACTACTTTACTGAGCAAACAAATCTTTCAGGCTTAATAAAACTCCTTAATAATTATCCGTTGACCATTTTAGATAAGGTACAATTTTTTGGATTAAATTGAAAATAACCTATTATCTTTGCTGTTTACTAAATGAGAAAAATGTACATTTGTATGCATATGTACTACACTTCATAAAGGAACAAACAAGAAATTCCTGACATTCAGTTCTTAAAGTCAAATATTTCAACTTTCCCAGGAGACTGCAAGTAAATGAAATCAAATACTGTAACACATTTCCAAGATAAGGCTTGCTTAGAAACAAATTCTGTGTTGAAAGTATAAGGCTAGTGTTGAACTCCAAGAACAAAAAAGATTAAGACTAATAACATGGGAAAAAACATATTATACATTCACAGATACAAGAAACAATATAACAGACATTCTTAAACTTGCTTATCAATTGTTAGCCATGTCCCTCATTTGTAATTCACAGAAAAATGGAGTTTTGTAAACAATATTCTGTAAACAAAATTCTATGAAGATCTGAACTCTTAAGCTTGAGAAAGTGGGTTTCTACTATAGTATGACCAAATTTTCTAGGTTTTAAATTCCTGAAGCAGAGGAAAAAGTTCCTGTTATCAGATCACTGAATTTAGTAGATGATTCTCCATTCATTTGATATTTGGGAAGCAGTTACTATATGAAACATAATACATACAGAGACACAAATATTTTTTAATGAATGGCATGAAGGGGCAGATTCATTATTTGCATCTTATTCAGAGCAGTGGGAGAGGAGAGGAAACTGTATAGCCAAATTTTATAGCAATAAAGTACATCCCTACAGTTATAATAAAAACTATGGAATCATCTAATAGAAAATATACTTTATGATCCTTTTCTGGAACACATTCAACTGAACTAACATTAACTTAATGTAAGACATGTTTCTTTAGTTTTAATTATTCATCATAAACTCACACTGTATAAATAACTCACCGGTCCACAGGAGTTGATGTATTCTCAATAAAACTGATAACTTTTTCCCTGACATTAACAGATTTTGTCTTCAAAGCCACAGTCATTTTATTTACTAGCGATTTCATTCCTCTATCATTTGAGCCATTAGAAGATTCACCCTGAAAAAAACAGAATATATTACTAACTGCTCTCCAAATGATTAGCAAACATACTACTGCTAAAGATTATCTATGTGTTATGAACTGAATTGTACCCACACCAAATTCATATGTTGAAGTCCTAACTCCCAATACACCTCAGAATGTGACTGTATCTGGAGACAGGGCCTTTAAAGAGGTAATTAAGGTTAACTGAGGTCATATGAGTGGCTCCTAATCCAATCTGACTGACATTCTTATAAGAGGGAGACACATGGGCATACGAAGACAGAGAAAAAACCATGCAAGGAAAGAGGGATTGGGGGAAACAAGGCCATCTGCAAGTCAAGGACAGGCCTAAGGATAAACCAAACCTGTCAGCACCTTGTTCTTGGACTTTCAGCCTCCAGAACAGTAAGAAAATAAATTTGTGTTATTTAAGCCACCCAGTCTGTGGTATTTTGTTATAGCAGCCCTAACAAACTAATTCATTATGTGAAACCATCTTAAGAATAGAGGTAGAAATAAAAAATTAGGATATATTTGCACATATGTTTGTGGAGTCTAAAATTACCTTCTTTATTCAATAAGAAATAGTCCAAGCTATTGACCTTTTTTTTTTTTTTGAGACAGAGTCTCACTGTGTTGCCCGGGCTAGAGTGCCGTGGCGTCATCCTAGCTCACAGCAACCTCAAACTCCTGGGCTCAAGCGATCCTCCTGCCTCAGCCTCCCGAGTAGCTGGGACTACAGGCATGCGCCACCATGCCCAGCTAATTTTTTCTATATATTTTTAGTTGTCCAATTAATTTCTTTCTAATTTTAGTAGAGACAGGGTCTCGCTCTTGCTCAGGCTGGTTTCGAACTCCTGAGCTCAAACAATCCACCCGCCTCGGCCTCCCAGAGAGCTAGGATTACAGGCGTGAGCCACCGCACCCGGCCTATTGACCTTTCTTATATCAGACTAGTCTACAAAAATAAGCAAAGGTATTATCAAACTACCATTCATGTAGCTAAATTTTTAAACATTTATTCCTTGTAAATTTTTGCTTTTTAAACCTTCCCACTTAGGTTTTTAATTTCTGAAGAAGAGTTATCCTGATGTACCTAATATAATAAATAAATGCGAATATAACTCTGAAATTGTTTCATGGGACTACTCACATATACCCTCTTGGAGGGCAATTTGGTGGTAAGTGTCAAACATTTCATAGTGATCCTGTTTTTTGCCCATTAATTCCCCTTCAGAATTTATGGGAAGGAAACAATCAGAAAGTACCCAGAGATTTAGGTATTATTCAATGGAAAATTATACAATCATTAAAAAAAACATACTTTAAAAAAATAATTTTAAAACACTAGAAAATGCTCATATGTTCAGTGAAATAGAAAATAAAACTATGTATACTATGATCACTACTTTTAAAATAAAATACTTAGAAAAATGCTTTAAAAAAGATTTGATGGAAATATTCAAAATATAAATGGTGATTATCTCTGGTAGAGTTACAGATGATTTTGTTTTCTTTATACTTTTCTTATTTACATATGCGGCTACAATGAACATCTGTTACTTTTATTTTTAGAAGAAATATGTCATTAACAACACAAAAACCTATGTTTCTATATCCATATCTAAATTCAAAAACAAATTAAACTGTGGAAATTCTCTGATACTTTTGAACATCTTTAAGATAGTTTCTACCATAGCCTCAATCAGTGTTTTTGAAATCTGAAGATAAAAGCTTCCATAGAAAAACTAACCAATGCTGTGGATGGGAATAAAAATCAGAATTATATTTTGGGAGGGCCATTTGATAATAATGTAGAATTCTAAGGATTTTGATAAGTAATGTTTTGATCAAATTATTCCACTTCTAAAACTAAATAATCATGGATATGCAAATATATCACTATAAAAATTAATTGTAGTAGTGTTTATAATAGAAAAAACTGGAAACAATGTAAATATTCAACAATAGGGGACTAACTGAATAAATTATAATGTAATCATACAATAAAATACTAATTAAAATGAAAATAGCAAATGTTTACTAAATAAATGATGATTTCACACCAAGAGCTCTTAGATACCTAGAGTTCCAATTTAAAAAACAGTTCTCAGAGAAGCTTTATCTACTGATAATGTGACAATAACTTGGTTTGATTTGCATGGCTGAAGATAGACCTCAACTAATACATCTAGTGAATCACAATTTTGTAATAACTACTTATTAAATATTTGGTGACAGATACTACACTTTGCCCATTTAATCCTCAAGTTATCCTTATGAGGAAGGTTCTGTTATTAACATTTCTATTCCACAGGTGGAAAAACTACAGCTGAAAGATCTTGCTGGATATCATGAAAAAGGTAAACTGTAGAGATGAAACCTGAACCCAGGTACGTAAGACCCAGAAGCCCAAGATAGTAACCATGACTCTATACTGCAGTTTTCCTTCTATTTTTGTCTTAAATAATAATCGTTAGGTAGATGAGGCATTATGTGTTAAGAAAATGATATAATGACATCTAATTCAATGGACATAAAGTACTGAAAAAGCACAAAAGATTTATTACTCAAAGATTTCCAAAGTAGAACAGAAAAACAGATTTATCCACTATAGCAAAACCCTAAAAGTATTACAGATCTTGATAACTAAAAATCAAATATAATAGGATTGGCAATGGGTTTCTGTCTTCCTCTGCCTGGCCCATTCTCAAATGTGGACAGACCGAAGTCATAATCATGTAAGTTTGTGGTGGGGACAGGTATAGATATAGCATGTGCAGGAGATGACTATGAGCCCCAATATTCTCCTGGCCCAAACTAATAGGGAGATTCCTGGAATCAGCTTGCTTAACAGTCCCAGATAGTCACAGGACCCATTGATTTTTAAGCTGGAGCACAAAACTGTCACTAGGTGATACCAAACTACAGCTGGACTAGGAGAATTTGAATTCAGCAATTGACCTTCAAAAACTCCCATCTAGTTTAGCTGTGCAGGCTGGATCCATCACTTAGTTAACCTCACAAGGACTCCTCATTGTATGTATTTGAAGTATTTTGACTCCATTTCTGTTATGGTAGGCGTTTAGTAGTTAATCATCTTTCCTGGGAATTTATCCAGGGACATAATCTACACATACACTTACATCAACAGAAGAAATGATACTGCTCCTTGAGCCTGAGGTACTAGCGATCCAATGGCCATATCCATTTTCTGGGCCATCCACGTTAATGTCAGCCAGGTGCTGCTGCAGTGCTTAAGATAAACAAGAAAATTAAAACAGAATCTGAAATAGCAACCTCCTCTAGAAAGATTCATTACCAGAGAAGTAAAATAAACACATCATAGCTGAGAAAAAAGGATCCAAGGACACAATCACAATCCTGTAAAGGAGCAAAGGACTCCAAGCTACAGCAACCTTCCTCTTCTCCTTCCTTCTAAAGCCCTCTATACACCAATAACTTTTCTTAACTGACTCTAAGAGTGATGATAACTGTGTAGGCTTTATGTTTTCCCCTTAGGAAGGTAATATTTCAAGTATTAACGGATAATCTCTGCAACATTTTTATGACATAAAGGATTAACAGAAAATCTATGGTGGCTTTTGTTACAGCATAAAGAGAAATCAATCAATCTTTCCCATAATAAAGAACCACTCTTAGGCATTAACAGTTATGGAACAAAAGGTTATTCTTGGTAAAAGAAATAATTCGTGGATTTAAAAAAGTTGCTAAAATCTAGACTTACTGGATAAGATTGCTTTTCAGACACCTTTGAGAATTACAAGCTTAATAGCCAAGTTTTGTATCATGTTATCAGGATTCCTAACAAATAACACTCGGCCTAGGGCCAATATGTGTTTAACATTATTTATTAAAATAATCTCTTTTGTAATCACTCTGAGTATGACCCTCAAAGGTAGTTAGTTATCAGGCCATGATATATCTATACAGGAGATAATCATAATCCATGCTAATATTAACATAGACCAAGAGGAAATAGATCCTAATTCTGCAAAAATTCTAAGTTATAGCATAAGAAAACTATATGAGCTCAGAATTTACTCCCATGACTAAAACCTAAGATTCTTTACCTTCAACATATATTGATTTGATTTTCAGAGCTCCAGTTGTGCAATCAGTTAGCACAAGGTATTTATACACTGATTTGATTTTGTCATTACTTTTTCTAGCATTTACAGTTGAGTATTTTTATAACTCTTTTTTAATCTTATTCCACTGATCTAATACTTCATAAATATTCAAATACTTGCCTGTAAAGATCTTACCAATTATTTTACTATCCTAAATTATCAGAAAATTAATCTGCAGATTTGAAAACATCAGTTTATTTAGGTTATTCCATTCAGACAATATTTTTTTAACAGCTAATACTTTCTAGTTCAAAAACAAAATGATGGCCAGGCGTGGTGGCTCACGCCTGTAATCCTAGCACTCTGCGAGGCAGATGCAGGTGGATCGCTCAAGGTCAGGAGTTCGAGACCAGCCTGAGCAAGAGCGAGACCCCATCTCTACTAAAAAACAGAAAGAAATGATCTGAACAACTAAAAAAAAAATACATAGAAAAAAAAAATTAGCCGGGCATGGTGGTGCATGCCTGTAGTCCCAGCTACTCGGGAGGCTGAGGCAGAAGGATTGCTTGAGCCCAGGAGTTTGAGGTTGCTGTGAGCTAGGATGACGCCACGGCACTTACTCTAGCCCAGGCAACAAAGCGAGATTCTGTCTCAAAAAAAAAAAAAAAAAAAAACCAAAATGATAACAAAACACCCAAATAGTATGAAGTGTATACTATAAAAAGTATTCCTCCAAATCTTGCTTCCCAGTCCCATATTCTAATCCTTCTCTGCATACAGGCAAATAATACAGGCACTTTTTAATGCATCTTTACAGAAATACTTTTTGGAAACACGATCTTATTAAACATATCTATTTCAGTAGTCTTACATTAAATTTTCACTCATTTCAATTGGCTATTATGTTTGTTTGCTACTTATATGTCCTCCTGGACTTGCTTTTTCTAAAAATATTGAATGACTAAAGAGAATCTACTCATTAATTTGGTCACTCCAAATCAGAAAAACTAGAGGCAAAGAAATTAATTAAAACCTTACCCATAAATCCTCCACTGGCAATGCTCACATATTCTTTGTTTTTCTGTAATGGAAAATAAAATTTAAATTATTCCAAAAATGCAATTTAAATAAAACTTCTGATGGCTCTAAAACATTGACAAATACAATGTATGGTTATATATTAAATTCCTGGACTTCCTTTTTTCCTTGACGTTTTGGACTTTGGCACTTTACCTTATGTACTGTAAGGTCTAGTCTAGTGCTTGGGTAGGAAGAAGGAGACAACTTCGTGGTTGTTAACAAGACTGTGATTTTACTTGTATTATAGTCCCAGTGATGTGATAGTCAAACCAAAATAAGTTAAATGGTATTTTAGTATATAATCAGAATGGTTTTTAAAAGCTTTCAAAATATTTTGTGTCCTTTATAAAACAGTAAAGGAAATATTATAGCGAATTATAAAGAATACATAACAGAATGTTACCGTTTTGCAAACTACTAAAAATATAATGGATCTTTAAGTAATATAAACAACAAAAAAAAGAGAGACATCTGGACAGTATTTGTCACCTGACAGAAGCACACACTGTCTCCCCAGGACCCTCTGTCCCACAAAAAGGCAATCCAATCGTGTCTTTAGATTAATTACCTGCTTACAGGAAATACCAGGGACAGAACCTGACAAATGACACCGTGTGAATGTAATCAGCAAGATCCAGTATGTGAGAAACTCTTTAAGACAAATTAACTCGGTTTTTTCTAACAAATATATGCAAGGAAAAAAATTAGAAAAAGGAACCTAAAAGAGAGACTTAAAAGACATCAGCTAAATGTAATGTCTGGTTTCAGATATTAGGAAACTCAAGGAAACTTGAACATTTGTTTTTTTATAATAAAGTATGATGATAATGTAGTTATGTCTTCATAAAGAGTTTATAGTGTTGAATTCTCCCTGTTTTTCAATTTCTTTGAAATTTTACATAATAAAACTTGGCAAAAAATTTCTAAAACCACATCAAGAACTTGAATAATAAAAAAGTTCACAACATTCTAAACTCTTGCTATATGACAGCTCTCACAGTATACAGTTTATATTAAAGCATCTTTAGAATAGGCTAGGTAAATTTGTGAGTAAAATAAGTTTGGATTCCTATTTTTGTTATTCTGTATAAGTTTCTAAACTCTTTCCTTTAATAAGGTTTAAAATTATCTTACAATTTTTCCTCTTCCAAATACTTTGTTCCTTCTCTGATTTTGCCTTCCAAAGATTTTGTCTTGAGCCTAATCTTCTCAAATCAGATTCCCATTAAAATATAAGATGAATAGAAACGAATACAAATTGAGTGGCTTGTGTAATACGATGCCTACTGTCTTCCTGATTCCATAGTTCAGGATCAAAGGACTTTAATGTATAAAGTACCAAAGAATCCCTAATAAACAACTATTTTTTATAAAGAAAGCCATCACTGAGTGAGGTTTTGAAAGAAAGCAGAGGGACAGGTTTCAAAAAACCACTAATACAAGTTAGATGTGCTGAAGACAACATTCAAACACAAAAAAGAAAGCAAGCTAAGGGTAAGAAATAAATATGCATGTATATTTATTCAATTTCAAAATGAAGATATTATAATGAATTATATAGCTACAATTTAATATAAAAAGTACCAAGGCATGAACAGGCAAAAAGATCAATGCAACAACATAGATCCTGATGTATAGAAGAATTCGGTATATTAAAAAGGTGGTATTTCAAATTGGTAGCAACTGGTTAGGAAACTGGAAATTTTTTTTTTATTCCTAACTCATTTCTTACACAAAAATAAATTCCAGATGGTTCAAGACTTAAACATAAAAAATAAACCTCATAAACATTTGAGCAAAATCTGGAGAAGATGACAATTTTTGGCAAG